TTACTTATCAATAAAACTGGGCATTTCAAATTTCATCCATCATGATCTAATTTTATATTATAATTGTATGGTTGATGTGACTTAACTCCTTATTATGTTAAAAAAAAGCTTTGAATCAACCAATTTTGCTCTGAAGCCTAACGCAAATACTTCCAAACTGTGGAATTTTCTCTTAAGAATGGCAACCTTTGTTTTACATTCCAATTATATGGTTAAAATAATTTGTTCTTGTTTAACTAACAACTTCGAATTAACCAACTTTGCTTTGAAACACAATCTACGTGGTTCAAAGTATAGAATTTTCCTTACCCCACTTACTCAGTGAATTTCTTTTGAGTTTCATCACTACTTGACCAAATACTGATTTTGTAATGTTTGTTCACTTCGAAGCTCAAAATATCAAGCATGAACCATGTTCTTACAAAAGGCTCCTTCGAAGAACTTCATCCTTTATTGAAAGCCTAAAAGCATGCCTTTAAGTCTTTCAAACCGAATTAATCCCAATTACTCTTGAATTTGGGACGTGATACTTGTTTCGAAGTCAATTGTTTACTCCTAAAGTCTTAGCTGACCGTTTGATAATCAGGCTTTGAAGCTAACCTCTTATTTTAAAGACCTATGGAAACTTCGAAGCCAACTACACGTTGCCAAGCTAGATATTTAACATATGTTTCCCTCTAGAAACTCTCTTCATTTTAAATTTGGGACCCTTCCATATTTTAAAATAAGGGTTTTAATTTCACATGGACCCAAACAATGAAATTATCATTTCGGATCCACCTGACCCACTCAGCTTGTTCGGGTAACTTTTGGACAGAAAGATTTAAAAACCCTTTCCCTTTGCGCTTTTAATTTACTTGCTCGCCCAAAGCACAAACTCTTCATTTCTATTGCTCTTCTCTTACTCTTTACTCTTATCTCAGCTTCGTCCTTCGAAAACTCTTGTCAATGGTTTCTTCCTCCTTGAAAGTTCCAATTATGGAACGTGTGAGCCCATCCTTGGCTTTAAAGAGGTGTATCGACGAAGAGATATCCAAGCTCAGAGCTGGTGAACCGAGTACCATAGATAGTTGCCTCTTTATTCCTCGCCATAATGCACAACAGGAATATGTCTTAGGACCTCTCTTCAGAGAAGCCCCAACTCAACTTCCTATTTTGTATCCTTGTCTCCTCTACGAATGGGGTTTTGATTAGGAAAGCTGGAGGATAAACCGCCCTCACTATTGCTAGCCCACATTAAGGGTTGAATGGGAGGAATGGTATGATAAGGTTGTGCCTACTGGAGAATGGGATCTGCAAAAGCTCTGTATCCTTGATGCCCTTCGCCTTTCCAGGTTCATTATCCCTGAGGATCATTTTTTAATTCCTGCAGCACTTTGTTTCTGGAATTCGGCTTTCAATTTTTTTTCAGTTTCGGTGTGGTATGATGGCCCCCACCGTTCTTGATATTTGCCATCTCTTAGGGCTCTCACCACATGGTGCACCCTTTACGCCTGGTTATCCAGACCTTTCGATCAACTTCACCATTCCACCCTTGAACTCTTCCTTCAGTGATTTTGTGAAATCTGAGAACAAGAAGGTAGGTCTTGTAGACGACTGAGAGTTCTTTTCCTTCATTCTGTATTGGTTATTCAAATTTCTCTTTTGTACTTCATCTCAGCGGATCATGCCTGAGTTTGTCCCACTTGCCAAGGCTTTAGCCTCGAAAAAGAAGATAGCCTTGGCTCCTTATGTTTTAGGCCATGTTTATAGGGCCAGTTCCCAATTTTGCAAGAAATCTTTGGATGTTAACCAAGGAGGCCCCCCTTTGGGTATTACAACTCTGGCTCTTCGCATATTTCACTGGTCTACATTTCAAGTGCTTGAGATTTTTGGTGCAAGAACCCATTACTTACCGAGAGAAATTTGCCAGGATTTCCTTATACCTCTCCAACTTTGCCTATTATTTTACTTTTTTTCATCAACTCCCAATTTCTCCACTTCCTTCCTTTTTTTGTCCCATCGAAACCAATATAGAACCAGCCTGGCTCAGGGCATTTTTGGCTGATAGGAATGCTCCAATCCACTACACAAGGATATGTGGGCCTTTATCTTGTTGCCAAGGGAGCTCTTTATCGGTACTTTGAACCTTCAAGCGTACAAATGTATATCTAAAGTTTACTGTCCTTTCCAATTTGCCAGACAATTTGGGCTTACTCAAGGAATTCCTATTCCTCTTTATAGCATTTCCAATACCGATCTCACAGTCAGAGACCTGAAGGTACCCAAGACCAAATTGGAAGAAGCAACATTTAAATTGCTACAAGAATTGAGTGAGTTTCAATTTATCCCCTTTATCCCACATGGCACAGCTTTGAAAAGATTTCAAAGTTGGTGGACGGCCAATATAGAGGTGCTCCTGGCAATACCTCCCAAAGATCTGTTAATGGGATTAGATGTGCCCTCTCAGGCCAAACCCAAAAAGACTGGGACCACAGTTACTATCTTTACTACTCTTACGATCCCAACTTCTACTATTTCATCACCTCCTCTTAGGGTCACTAGGGCTACTTCAAAAAAAGGTTTGCACTGTTGCTCCCTTTCTTTTCCTTTTCTTTTTATGATGTCTTGCATATAATTTTTTTTTGGTGCAGGAACATTGCAAGAAGACTCTCTTCAAAGGGCTCAAGCCCTAAACATTCTTAAAGACAAATAGCAAAAACAAAAAAAAAGAAGGAAACTTGTACTTGATCCTGAGGAAGAGAAAGTACCTAAAGAAACATCACTTAAAAGAAGGAAGAAAATGACAATCTCCCCCTTTGATCTCATTGATGACCCTGCTCATCAGGCGGCTGTCAAGGCAGTCGAAAGGGAACAATCTAAAGAACTAGTAGTCTTCCAGAGATCCGAGAAATAAGGCAACGGCAAATATTACAGAATGAAGCTGTTGCTGACGCACTTCAAAGGGAAGCTATAAGGAGGCAACAAGATGCTAAACATTATGCCCTTCGTAGTTCTCTAACCATTGCTACCACTTCTGAAACTAGTAATTTCCTTTTGTGTCTCTAGTAATTTCCTTTCCCAAGTTTTCAGTGATGAAACTTAACATTGCTTCATATTTTTTATTTTGCAGCAACAGTTATTCTACCTCCTCCTTTGATAAGGGTTTCTTCAATCTTATCTGAAGTTAAAAGACCATTAGAAGTAACCTCGAAAATGAGGAAAAAAATCGACACTAAAGTGCCTTTAAGTGTAGAGCCCATCCAGACAATACTTTCACTTCTTGGTTCTACATTTTTCATACCTCTTTTGAGGCAAGGCATTCCTATATCTTTATCCTTTGGCTTAACTCTATATCTTCCTCGCCTAACCTTTACCTCAGCCCAATTTACTCTCCCCACAATCCTGGCTGCTCCTTCCTCACCTGAGGAGATCCCAGTTATCACTTCATCTTCAGTGATAGCTGATACTCCCAGAGAAAATACTGGTAGCTCACCAATTCTTTATCCATCATCACTATCCAGCTCCAGTCCTTCTTCTCTTGACTTACTGGTGACCAGGACTATAGACACTGCTAGGGACACTTCATCCTCCTCTTTTATCCCTATGCAGCCATTCTTTCTTCCACTAGAAACTTTTTTGCACCTCCAATGTCAGTGGAAGAGATAGACATTTTTGAAGCTAGGCTGATTAGCCTTTTTAACATACCTTCTACCATTCCAACAACTAGTAATGAAGTTGAGCCATTGGTTTGGCTAACTCTCTCTTGGAAATTTTTTAGAGCTCTTCAACCATCAGTAGAGCTTCTTTACCTCCACTAGACTTGGGCACCTGTTTAGAATTACTGACATTATTCTCAAGGATTCCATTCGAAGCCTTACAAAGACCTATTATCAAGAATGGTTTCCTCCAATGCTGTAAGGTCATTGAACAATCCAACATGGCTATTTCAAGTCACTTATCCCAAGCAGCAGCTTCCATAGATTTTTATGTCAACATTTGCCATGTTGCCAAAGTTGTAGAGGAGAAGCCATTAAAAGACAAGGAATTTGTTTCCCATATACATATCGAGGTGTCTGAATTGAAGGGACAACATTTCTCTGCTTCTCAATTTTGAACCCAGCTCTTGGAGAAGAAGGCTCAATTAGAAGAAGAGTTATCAACAGTTAATCAAGCCTTGGATTAAACTGCTACAAAGCTGCAAATCACCAATCAAGGGCTGGCTGATCGAAGGCAGGACATGGCTATAGCTATTCAGTTGTTCCCATCCCTTAGGAGTGGAGAATCAATTGTAAGGGAATAACTAAAACATTGTACTGATTTTTGGGCCAATTTATGGCTGCATGTACTCAACTCTGTATGAATGAAATCCTTATTTATTGTTTAAGTGTTCTGATGCTTCTTGTATTTATTTTGACTTAGCATTTCTCACACTTCTTGTGTTTCCGACAAAGTTGGATAATAAGGTTTCAAGTACCCGTTGTTAATTTTCTTAGGATGCACATACCTATTCAAATTTCTCAAATGGTATGCTCCCCTAGGCAAGACTCTATGAATTTGATATGGTCCTTCCCAATTAGGTGACCATTTGCCAAACTTATGGCTTTTAATTCCTATTAAAAATATTGTCTTTCATACCAAATCACCTTCATCAAAGCTAATGTGTCTGACTTTCTTATTATAGTTTTTGGCTACCTTCTCTTTTGGAAAAGAATACTATTTAATGCCAAAATTTTAGCTTCATCCACATTTTCTAATTCCAAGAACATGTTCTGATGGTACTGCTCAGAAGCTAACTGGTCCTGGGATTTCACCCTCAATGACCTAATATTAATCTCCATAGGCAATACTGCATCATGCCCATATACTAAAGCATAAGGAGTAACTCCTGTACTTGATCTTGGAGAAGTCCTATAAGCCCACAATACATCCAATAACAAGTTATGCCAATCCCTAGGATTGTCTTCCACAAATCTCTGTATTCTTTTTTTCAAGGACTTGTTGGATGATTCTGCGTGACCATTTGCTTGTGCATAATAAGGGGTGGAATTAACAAGGCTAATTTCAAACTCTGCTGTGAAAGATTTTACCATCTTTCCATCAAATACAGTCTCATTATCTACAGTTATGGTCTGTGGAATGCCAAACCTGTGCATTAGGTCTTTAATAAATCCAATTACTTCAGTTTGATCTACAGCGTTATATGTTTTAGTTTCGACCCACTTAATGAAGTAATCTGTGGTCACTAGGATGAAACAGTGATGCTTCGAAGAAGGTGGGCGTATTTTTCCTATCATATCCATAGCCCAACCTTTAAATAGCCAAGGCTTCACAACTGCATACAAATCAGTTATTGGTACATGTCTTATCATGCCATGTTTTTGGCATGCCTGACAACCTCTGGCATACTCTATGCAATTTTTAAGGATGGTTGGCCAATAGTAGGAATGCCTTCGAATCAACCATCTCATCTTCACACCAGGCTGATGAGCACCACAAATGCTTTCATGAACTTCAGCCATGGCTGTCAGTGCCTCCTTTGGCCCTAGGCATTCCAATAACAACTCATCTGCTCCCCTTTTGTAAAGAGCATTACCATACACTATGTATTGCATAGATTGTAATTTGATCTTTCTGCTGTCTTTTGAAGATGGGCCAGTTAGGTTGCCACGACCCAAACCCGCCCCTATAGGTTTAGCGTCGTAACCGGCCAGTAATCCGTAGATTATCTACGGCCTCAAAGACAAAATTTCAAAATATTTAATTTTACCGGGGCTTGAAGCGGAAGCAAAATCAAAATGATGATGTCCATCGAGCTGTGCGTACATGATCAACTATAGTAATTAAAATATTTTTAACACATTTTCATATATACATGTACGAAGACATACTTTATATCATATCTTACACTCTATGTAAAGGACTTCTAACCAAGTACAAAGATTATCCCAAGCTTGACAAAACAAAACAGAACAAAGCCTCTACATAGAGGCACTCTTGGGTGGCTTGACAAAGAGGCGGGCTCCCAGGCAAACTCTAATGTTGATCCTCCAATTGCTCACCTACACCTACATATATGTAAATAAGGAGTGAGCTAATGCCCAGTGAATAATACCAAAGTGAAGAGGTTATATGAATGAGATCTGTAATTAAGTAAATCACATTAACACATATTACAGGTAAATCAAAATCAGATCGATCTCAAGTCCAATCTATCATGCTCAAGGTGTATCAGAGGGGAAAAACAACCTCGGGTCCAAGTTCTCATTCATACAAAACGACCTCGGTCCAAAATACTTGTCCAATGATATTACAGAACGGCCTCGGGCCCAATCATAATACAGAACGACCTCAGGTCCATCATTTCCATATTCATATCTAGGCACATGTTTATACTGAACGACCTCAGGTCCATCATTTCCGTATTCATATCTATGCTCATGTTTATACTAAACGACCTCAGGTCCAATACTCATTCATAGACCAACTTTAGGTCTAATGGATCCATGTACCAAGGACCACCGGTCCTCCATATCATATTACAAAATGACCTTGGGTCCATCATTCTTATATTCATAATCATGCGCATATGATCGTGATCACATCCATACTCATATTCAAAACGACCTTCGATCCAATCAATTCTTTATTCAAAACGACCTTTGGTCCAATTTGTATATAAGATGACCTTTAGTCTATCTTGTTAAGCATTCCAAACAGCCTTGGGCCCAATCTGTGTCCTCGTCAAACATGTCAAACGGCCTTAGGCCCATTTTCTACTCATCTATAAATCCCTTCACATACTTTATTACGAATCAAACGAATAGAATACTCACTCATAGTACAAATTCATAGAGTCAAAAATTTACCACATGCGTAACATTTAGAAAATAATGCATACACAAAAATATCTTTACTAAAATATTACTCACAGTGCTCTGGTGCTTGATTCGCCCTTGCACTTGACCCTACATAATTCATAGCACATTGGGTCATATTACAATTCATTCTGTAATTTAACTTGTTTAACATTCTTAGGCTTCTTTCATGTTCTTTAATTCATTTACAATGTTTAGTGCATACCTAATAGTGCTTTGAAATGAAAGAGAACGGAAAACAAAACACAAAACCATTTTTCACAATTTCAGGGATAGGGCTCTCCGCTCAAGCGCAGCTTTGGCCACTTGAGCGGACCCTTTTGGTCTGCAAAAGTACTAGTTACTACATTTCTATGCTCGAGCGTGACTCTTTCCGCTCGAGTGGACATCAATGCCTGCAAAAGTTCTGGAAGCCAACATTTCACGCTCGAGCGGTGTTTTCCCTGCTCGAGCGGACATACCGAATTCTAAAATTTTCAGAATTGCATTTAAAGCTCAAACTTAGCATTCAAATGGTCTAAAGCTCATGTTCTTGATACAAAATCATGGAAATCTTTATACAATATGAGGACATAAGAAAATTGATTCTAATTTGTCCAAAATCACAATTCAATTCCCAAATTATTTCACATTTTTCTTGACAACCCATACCAACTTCATATCTTTAAAACTCATGCAAATTAATTTCCACATCACTTTGAATTTCACATGCATGTGAAATATAGGCTTCATTTTCAACTTAAATAACACAATTGATGCTCATCTTCATCAAACATGATCAATTTTAAATCAATTACATCAAAACTCCTTTAATTTACAAATTAAGTTCATTGTTCATAAACCTATAATTTTTCAAAGCTTAATTCTTATTACATCAAAACATGAAGTCAATTCATAGAAATCTTTCATGCATGTACAATGAGAGTATCAAAATTGAAGAATTTGTTCATGCATGTAGAGATTAGACTCAAACTTATGTAAGACTACAAAAATCAAACTCAACATAATTAATTCCCAATTTAACTTCCATAAATTGGAACCTAATTCCATTTCCTCATCATCTTACTCATTTTCTTTTTTTTATTTACATGAAATTGAACCCAATTACCTCTTAACTTCAGCTTCTAGATGATTTATCTACATGATTTGAGCTTTAATTCCTTACCTAGAGTTCTTGATTGATGAGTTTCTTGATGAATTTCCCTTTCCTTTCTTTAAACCCTTGCTTCCTTGAGTTCAATTCCTTCTCCCTTCTTGGCACAGAATTTTCCAGCAACTCTCTTTTTTTTTTCTTTTCCAACAGCCAAATAACTTGAGTATTCTCACTCTCTCCCTCTCTCGGTTTACTCCAGCCGAAGGTAATGAATAGGCATCAAGACTTCCATCCTTTCTTGACTTCACTCTTTCTAACTCTCTCTTTAACACTCTCTCATGTTTATTTCCAGCACAGTACAAATAAGATAACCCGCCTCTTGCCACAGCAAAACAATTGAACACAAAGCACATCTAAGTCTTGAAGGTGTTACACGTGTACCCAAGGCTCCACCACAAACATATACATGTACACCCATCTTTTCTCTTTTAATTAATGAGTAGAATTAGTTTAACTCTTAATTACACATTAGCTTAAATAATCACCTCTTAAATTTAATTAATCTTGATTAATCATAACTAATCACAAGTCTAACATAATTTAATTAGTCCAATCGATTTCAATTAAGGCCCAATTAATTAAAATTAAATTTGTCAATCTGAATCAGATTTTTAATCAAACTCCCAAAAGGCTCCAAATATCAAATTGAACTTATCACTATCTTCAATTTTACTTCCTCAAATCATTTACGCGTTCAATTTCTGATCAGACTCAAAATTTTCATCAATAAATTACATATGCAAATTGGATACCTCATAAATAAATTTAATCTAAAATAATCATAATTTCTTAAACCTTATAACATAATTAATTTAATTAACTCTAATTTGGATCCAATTAATAAATTCTTGATTTTACTAAACTGAACCAAATATTAACTAAACTCCCAAATGGGTCCGTATTTAAAATTCAATTGATTTAATTTATTAATTTCACTTCCTTAAGCTATTTGAACTCTTAATTTCTAATTCTCAAAATAAATCATTATTAAAATCAAATACGAATCAGACTCCAGAATTCTCATAAATCCCAAATTACATTAGAGTGACAACCAATTAAAATCAAAATCTCCTTAATCAATTATGTGACGCCCCGAATTTTACACTATTAGTTGCAGAAAAGGGAGAGTCACTAATGAGTCCTATGGTCAATAACCAAGTAAGATCCCATATCACCGGAGGAGTCAAATTAGCCTCCCTTCTAAGTCTTCACTCCAACTAGAGACCAACTAGATGTTGTCTAATCCCATGATTAAGCTCCCTAATCATTCCCTATTCCATTAGACTCCAAGTAAATCCAAACTTTTCTATCCAATTTCAACTAGTGGGCCTTTATGTCTTTTTACACCAAAATTTGCCTATAAATACCACCATCCCCTAACATGGCAAACACAAACAACACACCCTCACACATATTCGGCCTATAGGAGAGAAAGGAGAGCAAGAAAGAAGTCTTTAGAGTGAGAGGAAGGAAGAGAAGAGCAATCTTGTTCAAGCCTAGCAAGTAAGCCACAACCCAACCTTCTGTTTCATTTTCCTTTTTCAAATACATGTTCTTAAGGGTTCTAAACATTGTTTTCAGAGGTGTTATATGATGAGTTACTTGTGTTAAAAAATTATAAGAGTTGAGCCATGATTCTACCTCTCTTGTAGTTTCCCTCATTTCGGTACAAAACTATCTTTTTCATACCAATCTCTCAAACTTTCCAAAGACACACCTTCAAGAAAATTTTTTGAGTTTAATATATGTTATTTATCATATTTTCATCACAAAAGAAATGAAAATTTTCCCTTAGTGGATCTCTTTTCTCACAAATCTTCTTGTTTTGGGTATTGCGCCTTAAGAATCTGTTTTCACAGCCAACTTTCAAAATTTCTAGAAAAATGTAGAAAATTATTCTGGACCTCTTTGTTATGTCAAAATCTTCCTTAAGGAGTTATCTTTCAACTAAAATTGGTTTCATTGAAAAAAAGTGAGCGGTTTGTAAGAAAATCAAATTTTCGTAACGGTCGACGAATCTGGACAGCGCTGGAGTGTTTTCTAAATAACTTAAAATCTAGAAAAGTTATCCCATTTCTGAAATATGTTCTGAAAATTAGATTAAATTCTCTACGAACCATAGGAAGGCCGAGTCCGGTGGAAAATCTAAAATAGTCCTTTCATCCTAATCCTTATGTGATATTGAATCTGGAAATTCTGTTGTGCATGGATGTTTTATGCTCGTGTTCATGAAAATGCTTATTAGCTTATGATCATATATTGGCATGATATTATATGTGCTATGGTTTTGTTCTTTATCTTCTTCATATTAATGATGCATGCTTATGTGGATATTATTATCTTGTTAAGTTAGTCTAACCTTGATTTAAAACATTTAATTCAACGGAAAACTTAATTGGGATGGTATTAGGTTTTCGATCTTTTGAGTAATGAAAAGATGACAATGTGGGATGTATGGATTGTTGGGATGCGTTCCCTATTTGGAAGTTAAAGTCTTGCGCAAATGGTTTTCGGAACCCTTAAATGGAGCGGTTGTATTTGGACCCTAGGTATTTAGTGTGAGGAGGGATTTGGGCAAGGCCCATTATTACCGTCTCTTTTGAGGCCCTACGGTTGGCGCTACGCGATATATAACCGTTGGTAGGAATCCGAGGTTAGTTCTGCAACAAAGCAGCAAAAGAATGGGCATACCGAATAATCCGCGTCTGATTCTTGTGGTTGGGAGGACGAAATCTCTTTGGGGGATTTCCAGTTTACTAACGTCTAACCTTGTAACCATTTATTTATTTAGTTGAGTATCATGCTTTACTACTTGCTATCATTTTGTGATTGTGTATTGGACTGGGAAAAAAGGGACGGGGTGTGTGTGTGTTTACTGGGCATTCAAAGCTCACGGCGTATCATGCCAGGTGTCGAAGAGGAGTTTATAGCTGGAGACGACAAGCCTGAAACCTTTGAAGACTTTTGGCTATCTTAGAAAAGTTAAAAATTTTCCTTTTGATATTTTGTAAGGCTCATGTGAAGTTTTAAATTTTCTTTTTGGGATGTAATGTAATGGAACAAGCTTTTAAAATTAAGGATATTGTGGTTGTTATGTATTTATATTCTATATATATATATATATAAACCTTATTGTTGCTTATGAGACCTTGTGTCAATACCTTTTAAGATCTGTCAAAAAGGTAGTGCGCTGCCTAAGAAAGCTGGACTTAGAAGGGAGGCTAATCTGACTCCTCCGCTGATCTGGGATCTTATTTGGTTATTGACCATAGGATTCATTAGTGACTCTCCCTTTTCTGCAACCAATAGTGTAAAATTCTGGGCATCACAAATTAAACATAAAATCATATACATAATGTGGTTGGCTTAATCTAAGGTTTATGCTAATTAAGCTCAATCAATTCATTACGAATCGTAATTTTGCCAAATTTTACCATAGGCTCTAAAAATCTTGCTAAACACAGATATGAAATCAGTTTTGGTTTGGCATCTCTAAGGCTATAAATTTTCAGCTCAAGGTTCCAGTTGTAACAGATTTTTCTACACCTAACAGATATAAATTCATAATCACATAAGAACTCACATAATTAAACATACAAATTCATATCAAACACATAATCACACGCGTAATTAAGTTTATTATAGGTTGGGTTATCACATAGGTATTGCATTATTGAATGCCTCCAATCTTGTTCTTATAAGTCATTATGATTGACTTCTAACACCACATTCCTTTTAGCTAAAGTTGGTATTAATGTTTGATATGTTGCTTGACTTGTGTTCAATTGAGTATCATCTCTTCTTCTGAAATTCGAAACTTTCTAAGCTACATCATTGGCTTTGTTATTCATGAACCTTGGGATATAAGTCACATTTGCTATCTGAAACTAAGAAAGCAAATGTAATGCAACAACATAGTATGGTAACATGCTTGCACTTTGACATTTGAAAATTCCTTTCACTTGGTTGACCACCAATTAAGAACCTCCAAATATATCAACTGCGTGAGCTTGTAATCCAATAAGCATTTCCAGTCCCATTATTAAAGCTTCATATTCAGCTTGATTATTGGAACAATTAATTTCATCAACTCTGAAGCCATGCGTGGTTTCTACCCCCTGTGGTGACTTAATTATAACACCAATTCCAATCAGACCATTGGCCTTTGATCCGTCGGACCACATATGCCATGGCTCAACATTAATCATGCCAAGATCCACTATCTCTTGGCTTTCTATTTGACATGGATGATCTACCAAAACGTTAGCCAAAACCTATCATTTTACTATCTTTTGGGGGACATATTCTTGATGAAACTCTGACAAGGCTAATATCCATTTACCAATTCTTCCTCTTAAACATTGGCCTAGATAACATATACTTAACCAAGTTTGTGGTTGCAATTACCGAGACAACATTAGGCAAAAGATAATATCTTAATTTCATTGATGTAAAGTACAATGCAAGGCACAACTTTTCTATAGCTGTGTATTTACATTCACTAGAATTTAAAAACCTACTAAGGTAATAAATTGCTTGCTCCTTGCCTTCTTCATTGTCCTGGGCTAAGAAAGCCCCCAATGAATCCTCTACTGTAGCAATGTATAACTTCAAAGGTTTGTCGCTCTTTGGTGGCATCAGCACTGGAGGCTTGGCCAAGTAGGCTTTAATTCCTTCGAAAGCTGTTTGATGCTCTGCGGTCCACATAAACTCCTCTTCATCTTTCAACTTCAATAAAAAAGAAAATACTTTAGTTTTCCCTAATACTACAGTTTTAGAAATAAATCTTCGAAGAAAATTAACCTGACCAAGGAACTTTTGTACTTCTTTCTTACTTGATGGAGGCTTGGCTTCAATGATGGTTTTGGCTTTATTCTGATTAATCTGTATTTTTTTCTTGTGTACTACATAGCCCAAGAAGTTTCCAACTTATACACCATAAACACATTTGAAAGGATTAAGCTTCAACTTGAACTTTCTCATTCTTTTGAAAGCTACTTCCAAGTGAACCAAGTGTTCCTCCATGTATTGCGACTTTACAACAATATCATCAATGTAACATTCTAGGTATCCTCCAATAAGATCATGAAAAATAGTATTCATTACCCTCTGATATGTTTCCCCAGCATTCTTTAGACCAAATGGAATTTTTACCCATTCGAAGGTGCCAATATTCCTAGGACACCTGAATGTTGTCTTATGGACATCCTCCTCTGCAATACAGATCTGGTTGTAACCAGAATGCCAATCCATCATAGAAAAAATCCTATGCCCTGCTAAACCATCCACTAATAGATCCACTATAGGCATGGGGTG